GCAGAAGCCTGTCAGCAGTTCATTTCAGAACCCATCCTGTCCAGTCAACCAAAGTCTGTTTGAATGCAGCCAAATCACATTATATATTTGTTGATGCTAAAGATTTATCAGGTAAAACATGTTGTAATCTTTGTGTAGCTGCTCATGACATGTGGGTTTAATTTACAACTAAGGAAAAATCGTGTATTAACTGAAATATGTGTAATGTGCTTTGAAAATGAGGTTTTAAAAGCACATAATTTATTGATTGTAGGGATGGAAGTAAATATATATATGAATTATGACATGGGTTGATCTCTTCAAAGGGGAATAAAATGCACTACCAGTAGAGGGAACTGAACTTTAAAGTTAGTTTGGGAATTCTCAGTTAAGATCTGTATGATCTGCTTGTGGTGTGTAGATGAATCAGTCTGCTTAAGAGACGGTGGCATTCTCCTCTCAGTGGTGAGAATATTTGGAAGAAGTAGCGGTTTTATTTCCAATCAGTGTTGTGGTTTTTCGACTTAGGTTTCAATTAATCATCGAATCTGCACTATTTTTACACTGCCAATGAGAGGGTATTGAAAATGCTGGAAGAATGGGATGTAAACAGCTGTTCCATTTTTGCAGTGTAAGTCACACAGTGAACTAGCTAATTTTCTGTCTGTTCTATGGAGCTTGATTTTGTTCTGCCAAATCTGACTGCCACAGTGAGTAAACTACTACTGGATGTTGTGTATTAGAATAGTGGGCAATGGCCTACTTTTGTGGAATTGTGGTAAGAATCTGGTGAGCCAAATCCACATGTTCATTTGATTTTTTTTTTTTTTTTTTTTGTACAGCTGTTGCTGGAAGGTTTGTTCTAAGGGACTTGCTTCCCATTCTGGGCTGGCTGCAGAGATGAGGCTACTTAGGGATATAAACATAAAGCCAAGAAACTTGCTTTGACAGCCAGGTTTGAAATATATTAGACCCCTTTTTCTTCATTTCAAGGGACTATTGCACTCATGTAAAATGGCTGGTACCTTTGCATCTACAGTTGGGATCCCTAATTCACGGCTTTCAGGTAATACTGTTACCAGAGAAGCTACCACTACATCTGTCCAGGCTGCCTGGGAGAGCAAAGTAGGTTGTTGCTCAGTGTGTTCCTTAGTCAGTACCGCTGCCTGTGGTTGGGACCACTGCTTTAGACACTCCCAAAGACCTCTTCTCACCACCCTGCAAGTTTTGAGGTATGATGTGAATTACTATTTACAGAGACAGGTTCTTTTGGCCACTGTTCACAGGATGGATACTCTGGTGTTGTGTAAGTGGTTTGGGTTTTTTCCCCCCTGCTCTTGCTCAGGCTATGGCTGCAGCCTCCCTGGTTGTGAAACATGAAAAACATAAAATCCAGTTTAATCCAGCTTTTGGGAGAAGTCAGGACTCCATTAGGTGAATCAAGGGGGAAGGTATGCTGCTGCTCCCTCTGCACCAGACAGCTCACCTCAGCACTATTTAAAGACTGTCTCTGTAGTGTCTCTGACCACATCAGCTGTACCCACCTCCCAGGAACCTTCTCCCCGTCAGCCTACTTAGACTGGTAAATTTATTGAACACATAGTTATGGCCACCCTTACGTCATAGAAGCATTTCTGAGGAGGGAGGAGATGAGCTCTGCAGAATACAGACTCTAGATCAGCCGATAAATACCATTGGCTTTCACAGCAGCCTTAGCAGTACTCCTGTTTGTTCTACCAGACATTTTGGTATGGCATGGATAATTTGTTTTTAACTGCCACAGATAAATATTGTAAATTTAATATATTACAGGCAAAACTAGACAAACCTACATTTGACTTTCCTTAGCTGACAGACGAGGATGAATATACCAAGTATTTTGAGTGCCTTTCTACCTTCATAATGACTGAGAGCTTTAACTAAAGCACCTCATCACCTAGTCAGATTTTTATCTGAAAATGTTAAAGGGTTGATTCCTTTGCAAAATTTTGTTTCGATATCATGTCAGCTACTTTCCCCTCAAAAAGGTGCTAAGCCTAATATTGCATTTTAACCTTGGACTTTCACCCCATGATTAATGTGAATATTTATTTCAGTGTGTCCCTCTTACTGGGTTTTACTTTATCCAGTCTTTAGTTGTTTTAGAGAGATGTCACATCATGGTTTTATGCTTTTCATTATGAATGTTTAATTATGAACAGTGACTTTTGTAGATTTCAAATATACAGTACACAGTTGAGTTTCAGAGGATTTAATTTCTCGGTGTAAAGAGTTTTGTAATGGTGCTTTGTACAGTATGTATTCTAATTTTTTTTTTGCACATAGTTTCAGTTTCCCTAAACTGATTTATTTGTACCAAATTTTTGTGTTGTACTAAAGTCCAGAGCACACAAGCCGTTTTTTAAATTCTTGTTCTACAACACTACATCTGTATTGAACTTCTGGTGCGTTTAAACTGGCTGCATTGATGGAAGTAAAAGCTTTGCTTCTATATCATAAGTATGCATCATACAGCTTAATGTAGCATGCTCCAGTTGCTTCAGATTTTAAACAGCACCATATAGTTAACAGGTGCCATTTGTTGTACTTTACACTATGTAGTAGGTTTCTGGCTCTACCACATCCTCAGAGCTTTGTCTGTAGTTGTAATTAGTTTATACAAGTGTAATTACTCCTCCACAAACTGACAGTTCTTAGTTTCTATCATTTCCATTGTATTTATTACAGAGTGTTTTAGCATTGGTATCATTGTATTTTCACCCAGCTGTTACATGAGCTTTAACAAAAAAAAAATATCTGTATAAAATGGTTTTTAAGTACTTAATGTATGTACCCATGCAGAAGTTGAGCAATAAATTGTATGCTGTTTGCACTGTCACAGCATCAATGGTTTTAAAAGTTTTAAGTTTTTCTTAATTAAATATTTACTTTAAAATGTAACAGTATCATTTTTAAGTAACTCAACTTTGTTTCAGGAGAAAATACTTAAAACTTGGTGTCTTTCTGTTACAATAAGGATTGTGCTAAATGGCCTAGTCAAAAAAGAAAGGTCTTACTTTTGGCTTTCATGTAATGGCATACACATGCCTGGGCAAGGACTTTTTATCTCAGCACTGGTGAACAGATGCCTCCTCAAAATTCATCAAAGCTAAACCATCTTCCTTAAGGGAAGAAAAAAGGTAAATAAATCTGTTAAATACTTGTTAATTTGATCACTTTAGCTGGTAAATATTGTCCCTTAGATAAAGGCTTTGAATTAGGCTGGGTTATAGCAAGTCCCTGGAAGTGGTTTAGAAAGTCAGGGTGTGGGTTTCTGGTTTTGTGGAGGGTTTTTGTTGTGTGTTGTTTGGGCTTGGTGAGGTATATCATGCTCTAACTGCCAGCTGTTTTGTTTAATCTGTAAAGGAAGCATCTTGTGCTGCCGGGGCTTTTTTTTTTTTCTGCTTCATTTTTTTCTCTTTTTCTTTATTTCCCAATGCATGAGTCGTTTTAATTCACTGAGGACCTTGTCAGTTCCATAAGAGACACCATCTCATGGCAAGCTTTAAATACTGTATATACAATGCAATTAATTTCAGTATTTCTGTACCACTTCCTCACATGTGTGATTTTAAGTAAGAACTCTTCTACTAGAGCCTGTTTAAAATTACACTTTAGTTCATTACTACGATAAACTATTTAAAAATTGCAATTTTGTCAAGCAGAAGAGAATGTAGCAGTACCAGGCTTCACTAATTATCTGTCTGGGTTTATGTAATTTGTTCTCAGCTTAAGTATTCATCCCTCTGTCTTTGCATCTCATAGGGCCCATAGTGCATGGCTGCTGAAACTTGAATTTTCTACTAAACAATGTACTTTGTAGAATCATCGTGTGCTATAAAGATAGATGTAGTGCCTACTGTCAGCTCCTACTCTGCCTAGAAGCAAACTGTACAACCTAAAATATGGTAAAAGCTGAATGCTGGAATTTTTAATCACTATTTACTCTAGCTGCACACTGACAGAACTAAAACTAATCTGCTCTTCCCTAAAAAAACTAAACTGGCTACTCAATACATTTACCCTTGTAAAACTTTTGTGCCAATAATCTGCTTCTAAGAGCAAACATTGTAAACTACTTCAGTTGTTATTGCTTGTCCATTTGTATATTGCATTACTATGGCTCCTTTCTGAAATAGATCAATTCAAACAAAACTTTGCTTGTTTACACATGGGTTTATGTAATTTTTAAAACCCCTGTGTAAAATCCAACAATTGAAATCCCTACAGAGAATACACCTGTTAGTATACTCGTGTTGAAATAATTAGGAATGCTGTCCAAAGGTCCTTCCCAGGTTTCAGTTCTTGCAGAAGCTTATATTCTACTGCTTCAGAAGAATTTTCACTGTTTTCTATGTCAGACTACTTTTTCCAATACAGTTGTAGCATAGGAAGTAGTACTTCATATGCTTTGCCATTAACAAGCCAGCAACACCAAAACTGCAAACATACTATTGTGTAGAAGTAGTCCTCCCTTGCGTAATATATTTAAATTACTCATTTTTATGTCAGGTTTATTGCAGGCATTCTCTAACTTGTCCTTTCAGAGGAAACTTGAACCACTCATGTTCTTTTAAAGATCACCTTATTCTTTGTGAGCCTTCTCATCCAGTAACTTCTGGCTAATGGTGTTACTGTGGCTTTTCAACTCCAGCAACAACAGAACCAGCACAAGCATAGAGGAGGCTGAGCGTTCAACTTGTTCCACTAACGCACACTGACTTCATCCCGCTTCCTTTGTGTGCAGCTCAGCATTATCTCAGCCTTACTAAGAAGGTAGAAAGTAGTTCCAAAACTTTATTGGTGATCATAAAAGTGCTGTAGAGATCCTAGATACCAGCAGCTACATCTCTTACATGTCAAAATGACAGACCAGATATTTTAGAGAAAAACAGCCACACACCATCTTCCTGTTAAGAGCAGCTCTCAAAGACTCTCATCACCTTAGCCAGAGAGAACTGCAGTGATATTTACCGTAAGTCTTACAAGAAACAGTTTTTGCTATACTGAAAGGAAGCCAGCTGAAGTCTGGATTTCAGTCTGTCTGCTTCTAGCTCTTGAAAAAAGGTGTCATCATCACTTTGCATTATTGCTGCTTGCAGATGCTGTATTTCCTTTTCCATCCTGGATCTCAATTCTCTTTTTGCTTTCTGTAGCATCTAAAGGAATTACAGACATTAGCCACAGCACGTAAGAAGACGACATTTACACAAAATTAAAAATACATACTTGTGCTTGTGCTTTCTCTCTGGTTTGGATTTCTTGGCGTTCTTGAGATAAAGCTTCTGCTAGCATGGAAAACTAAGCATAACATGTTTGAGTTGAATCAATTAAAGAAAGGACAGACTTCTAGTGTAAAAAGTATTAAGTCTTTGATGCAGATTAAGCTTTACCTGATCTTTGTAATAGTTCTCCATAGACTCCAGCTCATTTTGGTGCGCTCTTTTTTGCTCAGTACGCTTCTCATGAGCATATGCTCTCAGGTCCTTCAGTCTTTGCTTCTGAATTTCTAAGCCTTCTTCAAATAAGTTTTTAAATATCTGCCAGCAATTAAAAAAGCAAACCTAATATACATTTACATTTTTCAGCTGCTCTATCTCCTGATGGAATGGTGATCATATGAAGATAGGTTGTTGCCCATAAACAAGTACACAGTTAGGTATCTAGTAATGGTACAAATACAGCTGAGCTATATTTGTATTACTCAGTTGAAATTCTGATAGATAACATAAATTTTTCATGTCAGATTAGTCATATGATTAAAAAGGGGCTAGAACAGCAAATGTATATTACATTTTTTAAATCACTTCAGACAACGCAACAAAGCAAGCCAAGGTTTTTGGACATGCACTGTGATTTACAGCCCACCCTACATTCTGTTGTCTAACTTCAGGACCTTAATCCAGATTTCCAATAGCAGGAAATCCAACCTGTACTCAGGCTTTTCATTTATACAAAAGAACACTTACCAGCTACAGTGCTTTGCAGCTCGAGGCAAACACTTCTCAAATCACTAGCAGTGGATTATGCACTAACCTTCTAGTCTTTTATTTTAAAAGGTGCAAGAGTAGATATACAATTCTCAAAGTGTAATAACTCTTCTTGCTTTCCTTAGCTCTGATGTCCAACCCTAATTACAGATCGTATCTGTCCAAAAGTCTACTTTATTTAACAAACATAACTGAATAACAAAGCTGACTTTTTGATCAGTTTCCTTAACTGAAGATTTAGATTGTTTTCTTTGGATAGTAACTATAGGAACAACTTCTTAATCCTACCATTTCTGAAAACTCATTTCCCCAATTTCTCGTATTACCAGCCCTGTTTTTCCATACTGATACTTCACCCTTTCTCTCCTCCTCTTAACCCCATAAAGCATCCTTTCTTTTTTTACAGTGGTCTGCCCTAAACTGCATCAGTGTTGCCAAAGAAGGAACCTTTTAATCTGGGGCCTTGACTGACCAACCATTTAATCCTGCCTCCTCTGCTCTGTTTGCTTAACTTGCTCTCTGTCTACTTGTACCATTATTTGGACTATGGGTCCTCAGCACTGGGGTCCAAACAAAAAAGAATTCCACGCCTGGAGAGCAAGATATCTTGTACTTACCCTTTCTTCCCGTGTCCTAGCCCGCATCATCTTGGCACGCAGCTGAACCCGGTAATCTTCATAATATTTCCTGGCTCGAGCAACTTGCTGGCGTTTCTCTCTCACTTTATTCTGAGCCCATTTCTGTCGGCAGATACGTTGCTTAAATTCTTGCTGAAGAGAGAACAGTAGCTGTAAGACCACCAAGCTTCCAATAGATATTGCTGCAGGCAAAGCTTTGTTCATCACTGCTAAATAAACAGGGTCCTTTACCCTAAGGACCTTCTCCCCATGCCAATTTTACATTGCATTTATGGTTTAAAGCTTTAGTCACCACTGATTTAGCAAAGTGGTGCAATCAAGAGCACTATATAATTAAGGAGTCAGCATTGCCATGGTAGGTGGTGGTTTTACCAGCAACACCAGGACCCTGAAGTTTCTCCACCTTGCACATTCTTAGAATTTACCTGCACTCTTAAAGCAACAGTGCAGTGTAATAATAATATTCCATTCCCATGACCTCAATAGCCACACACAAAAAGCTTACATGGCGTTTGAGACCAAAGCTACTCGAGGCATAAAACTGTTGTAAGATAAAAAGCCCCTTTAATGGGCCAGGGAATGTGCATTCTAGCTAGTTGAACATGAAATTTTTGTCCTATGTAACAAATATCCTTCAAAGAACATACCAGTCTCTTGTTATGGTCTTGATCTTTTTTAATAATTGCAACAAGAAGCTCATGCTTCTTCAGGGCTTGTTGAACCTGAGGGGTTAAAAAAAAAAGCTAATTAATTCCATCATTCTGCAGGACAGGCAGTTTTGTGTAGGAGTTTTAAACATTGACCCTCTGCTACGTTTTGGTTTTTATGTTGAGAGTTACAGTACTGAAGTTAATCAACTTTTGCATCTCATAACTAACTTTTAAACTAAAAGACTGTTCAGAACTAGCACTCAAAACTACAAAATTTTTTTTAATCAATCCTAGATAAACTAGTATAAAAAATTAACATTACTATTTATCAGCAGCTGATAAAAAGTTGAACCCACGTGTCTAGGTATGTACATCCCTATTTAACTAATCAAGCTCAGATATACATCCTTTCATGTTGTGCTTAGGATGTGCATGTACCCTATTTATGATGCATACAAAGAGTCAGGATAATTTTATTATGCAATACAAAGTGATGACTGCTAACTATTGTCGGAGGTACTATCCCTGCTGATACTTAGAAGGTAAGAATAAGAATGCTCACTTCACTTTGGAGTTTTGGTCTAGTTCTGCCAGAAGCTGCCTTAAGTTGTTCAGTATGTGCAAGCTGCTGCTGCCACATTTTATTCATAGTATGGTGGGAAATATGCAGGTGGGGAAACTCTTCCAGTAGCTGAAATAGGAGGTCATCATCTCTTACTTTCACTACAAGGTAAAGACAGATGTAAGTAATAAATTCCTGGAGAATACATTTACTGGTAAATTCTTCCAGACAGTGTCAGCCTAGGTTATGAAATATGTTAGATTGAACACTATATACAAGTACCATGCTATTGTTATGATGTCAAACTAAATCCAGCAGGACATAACATCACTCTGTCAGTACAGCAACGGAGAAAGTAGTCCCAAGTTTTTGTTGTTTGTGTGGTGGTGTTTTTTCCTGCTGAAGAAATTATTTCTAGCTGAGGAATTATTTCCCTCCCACCACCACACTGCATTAACACAGGTATTCACTTCTTTCTTCAAATGGTTCTGACCATCACTAATCAGTGATTTCTTTGTGTCTCTCACTGTCTGCAGCAACTTAAAATAATATGTTAATAAAGGAGTAGTAGTGACAGATCCAGGTCAAGTAAACATGTAGAAAATACACTGGTTTGCAGCCAGCTCATTACCATTACATCTTTGACCTTTCTGGCAGGAAAAGATGATGGGGAGATGAAACAAATGGGTATTAACCAAGTATATGCCCTTTTAAACACTGAAAAAACAATACTCAGCAACAGTGAAAAAGCAACACTCATATGTAGGGGATTGCACCATGATCTTATACATAAGCATGCACAATGCCATTTACCAAAACTGAGCCTGTGACTTGCACGTTGGCTGTTCCTGCAGCATCACTCGCTCAGCAGAACCAGTGGTAATGTTAACAGCACCACAGCAGGGTCTTGAAAGGAAGATGACAGCAATGGAAAGATTCTGGTCTATTACCTGTACATGGCTCAGCACCAGCCTGCTCAAGCTGAAGGCCCAATTTTAAATCTGATACATGCTCAGCAAAAAAAAAAAAAAGGGTGGGGCAAAAAAAAAGACTGAGCTCAGACTATAGTGGAGTAAGCATAGGAGTAGCAGTAATGGAATCAAACCTTGAAAATAATCCAGGGGATTTTAAGGAGGTAGCAAATGGGTCAGCTTTGATTGTGCTTTAGTGGTTTACATTCACTTAAAGCATTATCTTCCCTAACAAAAATCCAGACATACAGAGGTCATAAGAAGGGGAAAATGCTACAGCTGACTGGTATATGTTGGACTGATGCTTTTATTCTTGGAGTTCAACACATGCTTTCAAAAGATGCCAGTTTTCCACCACGTATAGTTTTGCAGTTCTTACTTGGAGCTGCTTTCTTTGGCTTCATAGTCCCTCGTTTTGGAATCCACTGGCTGTATTTGGGATTCCAAGGTGTGGTTTTTCTAGAATAAACTTTCACTGGCTGAGGCATTTTTGGAGGTTCTTTAAAGATGTTTTCTTTGTATTCTTGTTCCTTCGGAGCAGATGTAAAACAGATGGAGAACAGGTATGAGAAGGGAAAGACTGATAGATCAGATAGTTTGGATATCAGAACTTACATGTCTTTGAAAGCTTAGAATGAGAATTTGGACATTTTGAATTGGATTCTCCAGAAGGCCAGAATTTACCAGATGCAGGTCAGGGTTCAAATAAAGGTTAAATCTCACTGTTGCATAACCTCAGCTCTTTTACTGCACTTAACGCTACTGCAGCAGCCTATAGAGTGCTGCTGCAGAGGTGGTGACAATGTAGGCTGCACTGGCCCTTTTCATGCTGTCAGTATGACAGAGCTTTTCAGCTTAAGTTCTTTGCTGTTGCAGTATGTCAGAAAGTAGCAAAAACCCCTTTGCCCCATTCATAATGGAGAACCATCCTTGCACAAACCCAACTTTTTGAGTAGTTAAAGGCTAGGACAATATTAAGCAGATGATTGCCTACAGTGTACAGGGGCTCCAACCTTATTAACCTAGCTGTTGGGGATGTGTGTGTGTGAGAAGTGCCCATGTGTATAGAAGTTTAGGCCAGTCTGTGGAAGCTATCTACTTGCTCACTTAGCTTAAATTCTTTAAACCTGAGGGTCTTGAAGTTACCACCTCATGTGAAAAGCATGGTGTTCAGTTACCCATAAGAACAGGTATTATTCTTAATACATGATGCGCTGAAACTTCTAAAACCAGCTGTCCCTTGGTTCTACCTATCTCAGGAAAAGCTGTCCTTCTGTTTACTATTTTAGTAGTATACAATGCTCTAACTATAACACTGGAAGGCAAGGAGATTTTTGTACCCAAAAGACATATCCAATGTCTGGACACATCATCTAGACAAATTTAAAACAAAACACAACCAACAATAACCATAGTGCATCACATACCATTTCCTTGATGAGTTCTCTGAGCTTGGAAAGTCTAAGCCTCTCCCTAGCTTCATAAATTCTTAGTTCATCTTCATAAGCTTTATCAACCATCTAGAAAATAAAAATAAGAGGACTTCTTGTAGAAAATCATCAGTCCATATGATCACCTCATTAACTTGTTCAGTGTATGGGTCAAGGAAGCTTCTTCCACTTCTCTCTCTCTCAAAATTTGGGGCTTAAGTCTTTTCCTCAGCAGTCTACAGATGGAACAGTACAAAAATTATTAAAGTAGGCCGGATGTCCCCATTAAGTAAAAGCATTCAGTTTTAATGCTTTTAGTATAGCTGTTGGTAAGAAAGACCAGTAAGTCTAACCTAAAAATTACCTTTGCTTTTTTTGTCCTTTCATCCCTTTCTTTTTGCAACTGGCTGCGTATTTTCCTTATTTGGCCTGTTCCATTACTGCAAAGTTTATCTTCCAACTCAGAAAAGAGCTGATGCTGAGATGAGGGTGAGGATGGAGAGAGGGATCGGGGTCTGCTTGGGTATCTTAGATGTGGTGTGTCTGTAAGGAAAGGTGATTTAATTGAGTATCTAACTTGAAACAAACAAAACCTCCAGCCAAACACAAGGAAAAGTATCCCCCAAAAAGACATACAGCATAAAAGTAAAAAAGTTTAGCACAAACTAAGTCATAAAAAGCTAAAGCCTTTTCCTTTAGAATTATCCCTGCCCCAAATCGCTAATTTTGGTGCTTATATAATAGCCAGGGTGCCAGGAGATATTCAAGAGGGAAAGGAAAAAGCAGCAAAGAAAACTGAAGGTAGGCTGCTATTTAAGTGTTAAATGGGAACTTAATTGTAATTGTTACTGTTGCTCAAGTTTGGATCTAAGACAAAATAGAAGGGAACTAACAATACAAAATTTAGGAACTCACTAGGAGTAGTTCTGTGTATCAACTTTACATGAGAAGGATTTTTTTTAATATTCCTTCCCATCCTAATACTTAAGTGGCATAAGAATTGTTACCTTGTTCACCTTTCCTTCGGCGATAATCCATGACGCTGTCACTGTGCTGAGACAGGTTGTCTTCATCTGTCAACTCTTCTTCTCTGGTGTGCCCACTCAAAGCTCTCTCTAACATCTATTGGATAGAATTTTTTGGGGCATCAGGTTCAATTGTTCATTCAAAATTTAGAACTGTCTAAAGTCAGGTTAGTCTGTTAGTTGCCGATTTCCTTTTCTTCAATATTAAATTTATATTCTGGTTCTCTCCACTATCGTTACTAAGGCTCACATACAACAAAGAATAGTTTTCACTTACTAAATCGAGCTCATTTAACCCACGAGAGAGTTTTTCTGATACTTTATGAAGCTCTTGGTCAGATGGCTTTTCCTTTGTTGTTTTGTGGGAAAGAGACTCTTCAAGTGAATCTGTGGTAGAATTTTTATATCTGCTAAAACAGAAAACAGATTTCATTTCTATTCTAAAAACTTGAAGATAAGCATTAGCTTGTACAATTCCAGTTCACTTGCTGCATGAGCAGAATTTTATAGGATTAAGTAGAAGATGAATGTGTAAATGCCTATAACTATATTTAAGAAAACTCATATATGTCAGGAAATCTTTCTGTTAAAATCAATCTTTCACTGTCATGCAGCCAAGGAGGAAGAGGTCTTATTTTAAAAAAGGGGCACGGGGTGGCCATGTATATGAAAGTGCTAGCTTGGCTCAGCACCAAAAAACTGAACTTGCCTTTTCTTTCTAGGCAGATATCTAGATTCAGGTATTGGACTTTGTGTTACTTTTTCAGCATGTAGTAAGAGTTTTTGATGTAAAGAGGAAGCAGATGAAGTCCCATATACCCAGGGAACCTAGGAAAACGAGTAAAAGTAAATTAAGATTTTATTAAGATTTTCACAGTAAAGATCAGAAATACTATAGATCACATGAGTAGAGAGATCCTACAACAGCTTCTCAAACCCTGTGATTTTACATACATATATATACACACACACAAATATAAAAGTTATGTGTTCCAGTCCCTGACTGAAGATAGTGTGCTTGTGAGAATTAGATGTGTAAAGAAACAGACTAGCAAAACTGCAGAAGATCAGTTCAAGAATCATCTACAGCTAAATCACAAGAATCAGAAGAACAAGGTCTAGGTGAAGTTATGAGTATCACCATGTACTACCTCATTACGCTGGGACTAATGCTAAGTAATGCGAGTAAGCTGAACCTCACTGAGTATAGACTAAGCTGCAATTCATAGCAAACTAAAAGAAAACACATCCTTATGCCATTTAGTTACACTGGTTTAGTACTGTCTAGTAACTTATCTGTTCAAACTGGAGTAATTCGGGGTTGGCATGCATATACACCAATGGAAACAGTTTTAAACAGAGACGTTTTAAACAGACAACGTAGAAGTAAAGGCTGTTGAAACTATTGGAACAAATGAAGTCTGTGAGTACCTCTTGTGGTTGCAGAAGGCAAAAAAAAATGTGTTTTCCAGAGCAAGGAACTTGCTATACAGACATGTTTCTACAAGCAGAGAATGGCATCTGCTGATCAATTTGTGGGTTTTGCATTATTCGGTTTTTGAAAAGCAAAGGACAATGCAAGAAAATAAAATGAAAGAACACAGCCAGGCACTTCAGTGATCTTTAGGAAGGGAGCAAAATTTTACTGGAACCTGAACAACCCCAGGAAGCCAAAATTCTTAGCAATTTAGAATACTGATACACTTCAAAGAAAGGACATGACTGTACTCTTGTGTTTTATACATCTTTGATTAAAACCAAGATAACTAGTAACTGGTTGGTTGTGGTAAATTAGAATTCTATAGGTATTGGCACTTATACTTCTTGGAGCAAACACCTCCAGAAAGAGCTGACATGACTTTTAAACTGTACATAGTCATAATCTAACAGCATTGAATATTCTTCAGTTGTATATTGAAGAAAGCAAGCCAAAAGCAAGTTTGAAAAAAGCCCAGAAGTGCCACAAGGTATCAGAAGGATTAAGCAGAACTTCCACAAATAAGATAAAGATGCAACATCTACCTTTGCCACATTGTCCTCAGCATCATTTGATACCATCTTGTCTCCCACTGCAGAAGCAAATGACAGGTAGGTGTTAGTTGATGTTATAGGTTGAACTGTGCCTACTAACGTGGGGAACAAGTTAAAAAAGAGGTGATCCACGGCCTTTTATTCAAAGAGAACAGAATGACAAAGCAACTGTGGTTACACAGTTGTGACATTCATTTTGGTAATCTCTCCAGTTTTGAATCTTCAGTGTCATGAGAATGCTATGGAAACTAGAAAGGTAAGCAGTGTTTCCCAGGCAACAGAGAAAATAAGTAAGTACTGAAAACTAGCTTCTAAAACTTTTCTACAATAGCAGTTAATGGCTTTTTCAAAAGCTGAAACTGGCTTGTTTGGTCCATGTTTCTCTGCTCAGAATAAGCTCTGCAATGGGAGCTCTCTGCCGGAACAGATTCCTTTAGTATAGGCACATCTTAACTGGGTTAACTAAGACGGGAGTTGAACTGGGGACACAGATTATTTTTCTCCAGCACAGTGAACAGCTTAGAAGTAAACTATTTTTGTTTCTCTATAAAGCAGAGATAGACATATGAACTTGTGGCTAAATTTAAAAAACGCACTAGTAGTTTCAAAACTGTGTTTCTTGTAATGCAAATAAAAATAAATGCAACATTTGACATTTAAGAGTTAACCTATGAGAAGGAAAATTCTCTCTTGCCAGGGATTTTCCTTGATCAGAGGAAGACTTACCAGAAACATCTTCAAATTTTTGTGTAAGTGACTTTTCAAGCTGAAATAAAGAGCAACATGTTTTCTATAAATTCACAGGAGAGTGTTGACAGGAAGGTCATACATTAGGTTTGTCTGCATATGGAAATCAATGCTGGTTTTGTAGATAAATAAAAATACACAATAATGATTTTGTTCACTATATTGTAAACTGTGCAGTTACATTGATTTTGGAGATGCATATGTATATGCGTATAAAATAAACACATCCCTCAAATTAACCCCCTCTCTGGACACTCAGTGAGGAATGAATCCACAATCCAAAATTCTTTGAACTGAAGATAAAATCTAACACATTCAGAAGTGTTCTGCAGAGACCAACTACTCCCATTCTGAAAGTATACTAGAAGGTTTTGCAATGAAAGTAGTATTCATTACTAAAAAGATAAATGAAAGGGTTGGTTTTTACTTACAGCAGGAGTTTTCAATCCTTCACTGTTAGCCAAAGTTGCTGACTGGCTGCCTGAGCTCTGATAATCTCTCCATCCAGAATAATGAGGTCTGGCTTCTGAAGGCTGAAATGGTGGTAGCAAAGGAATAGCTTGCTGTATAGGCTCCCCAAGTATTGTAGCACTGGCACTCAAACTCTCTTTTTGAGGTTCAGTAGTATGAACAGACTCCACTGACCCTTAAGAGAGAAATATGAAGAACCTGAAGTTTAAGTGTTATCTGTGAAAGCAGAATGTTAGTTTTGTGTATTCTCCATACGTATTAGATGGAGGTATCTAAACATCTAATGTTAACAACCATCTTTGTTGGATTGCATAGAACAGTATTGTAACATCTTTATGCCTTGCAACTTTACTTTTCTTCTGTTTACAGAGATACATACTGCAGCCCCTCCCTGTCTCACTACTTTTCTAAGAGCACTAAGTTTTTCATGACTGCATATGTGTGTATGTATGTATATGAATACACTGCTGTCATACTGCATGGGCATAGCTATACGCAGACACAGTAAATAGCTCTGAATTTGCTGTTATTTTACCCACCGTCTTTTTAGACATATGCTGGGGAATGCCTGCTCATATGCAGGAATTCTAAGCAATGACAGAGCCATAGTAAGCCAGGACCAATGTCTGCCGCTTGTCAGAAAGATTCACCCAAAACACAATCTATCCATAACCATCCTTAAGAACAGCATGAAAACCCCCTTGAGAACATGATTTTGGATGCTAGGATCTTCCATAAGGACTTTTTACTTTCAGTATTTTACTTATTGAACCACAAAAGGAAAAAACTTGGCTGAAACGGAATCCTAGCTATGCAGAAATACCCCAGATAATTGAGTTTGCAGACTCCAGGACACTAAAATATAAATTTTCTGAAAAGGATTTATTTCAAAATATAGGTAAAGTATATCCATCCATGACTAAGTTTCTCCTCTACACTACCTTAGTACCTTACACCCTTTAGTCCAAATCAGGTAGATTAGATACCAGAAGAAAGACTACTCACCTTCTCCCTTTGTAATGGTCCTTCCAGTTTCAGGGAATGGTCTAGGTACTGTTGCAATAGCCTCCGAGTTTTTAGATTCTTCCACCTTCTTGTCCTTTTCTGCTGGCAACAATTTAGGCAACTGGAATTCTAGAAGTGGTGTTTGAAAAAGATTAAATTAAGAACTATAAATTAAAAACTATGAAGTATCTTGCTATGTTTAGATAGACAATATTCATGTTTGACATGTTAGTAACTTGGTGTTAGCAATCCATACTATGATCAAAATAGGTCTGTTAAATTCCTACTTGTAATTCTATTAAATGAAGATTTCATAATTCTTAATATTTCTTTATGCCTCTACCTGGAGAGATTAATCACCAATAAGAATAGGAATATTCTTATAGGAAAGCAGAAAATAGGAGTGGACTCCATTTGAGTAGTCTGCACGTTATTTGTTCCAGAGCCACCCATTATGTTTTCAAGTGGCACACACTCCTATCAAGTCTTCTTTAAGAATGACCTTACTAGTCTTTTTACAGTCTTAAATAATACCTTTTACACTGCAATAAATTAAATAAATTAAAGGCTTCAGAAATCTCTTATTCTATTGAACAAAATAAAATGCCTTTGTAGGGAGAACTGAATTAGAAGTTGAACAACAAACCTTTATCCAGACAATGTAGCTCAGTAGTCATGAAAAGCAGTGTCTGAATACTCAGTTTAATAAATCTACATTTTAACTTCAGCAAGATCAACTACAGGTATGTTTGCTTACTGTATGTTGGGTTTTTTGGGGGGGTTTGGTTTTTTTTTAAAGTAAGAGTTTAAAACAAAGTATTTGTCTGAAATAACTAACTTTAAAAAAAAAGAAACAACAAAAAAAAAGCCTAGAAATGTTACTACAGGATAGTCTTAATTTTTTTTTTTTCACCCAAACTCACCTTCCTCTCTCTTGGAAAATGAATGAGCAGTATCTCCAAGTCTAATTAATTCACTGGTAGATTCTGATCCATCTACATCACAAGATGGAACAAAAAATTCTGACTGGGACCTAAGAGGAACACAAAGCCATAAAATATTTACTCTAGGAGTCTTTGCCCCTTCAGTCCACAAGATGGGGCTGCAGAAGAGTGGCAGCTACTTCAGGTACCTGGCTATGATAGTGTAGGATGTAAAAGACTAGCTTCTACCAAACCAACCAATGCAGAAGTCATGAAGATAAATTGAATGCTGTTTAACTAAAATACAACCATTTAAAACTGAGACAAAGTTTTCAACTTGTTTCACTCCACGTGTAAAGTAAACTTAAGAGAAACAAAATGCCATCAGTACTCTTCAAGAGCAAAAAAGTTCTGGATCTATCTTTAGCCCTCTTGCTGCCCGACTAAAGCAGAAAGTTACCTCACATTCCATTTGATGTATGTAATCAGTATGTTTCCTACTTGCATACTATTAAAAACCTCCTAGTTGCTCTACAGATACATAAAAAGATAGTCAATCACTATGTCAATGCAAATACTCAGAATTGTTCTTACCCTTCAACTGATGAGAATATTGAAGGTTGCGTAAGTTGGCCAGCATTGCTTTCCAGCTGCTCTTGAGATGCAATTTGAATTTCATTATTGGATAGCACATTTGCCTCATCTGATAAGAATGAAGAGGCAATTATTGTCAGGAAAACTCCTTCTACCTATTAACTAACAGATATTAATGCCAATATCACCAAAATTGTTTAAGTATAATAAAACATTATCATGATGATATCTGAAATTATGACATGTAATGCCCTCCCTTGACAGGAGGAAGGCAACTTTTATGGTAAGTTTTGAAAACCAATACAACCATCATATACCCTGTTGTTTCAGTTATAAATAACGCCTTCCCTCTTCCTCAAAGAATTAAATCCTGTACTTATAACTAGAAAGTTGAAGCCACTAACACCTATTGGGTAGCAGCACTGGCAGTCTGAGAGAAGGGAAAAAGAGAAGTACAGGCACTGAAAATTGCTACTGCCCTCCTTCTGCCATTCTCAGTGAAACAGGACAGGAGGCAACTGTCTGAGCCAGCGAGTGCTCTCCCTGTTACTCACAGGGTGCAACAGCCAGTGATGACAGTTCTTATCAGCTTTAAGATAGGAAGACCAGTACTCAGTCTGCAGTAATGATGGTGCCTCTGAAGGGCTGAGTACCTTCTCTTCCCCTGTTTAACATTTTACTTGGGAGCAGATCCATGGCAGGGGCTATTTCAAGACACAGTTCACAGGAAAGCTTAAGTCATCCTCCTGTTTGTCTCCTAGTAAGTAAAAGGGATGTTTGCTCACTCTTCCAATTAAAGTCAACATTTCCCTCCCTGAATCCTAACCATAAATCATTTGACTTACAGGTAGAAAAGGAACATACTAACCAAGGCTGAATTGTCTGGAGTAGGCTTCTGCCACAAGAACGAAGCAGAAAGATTACGTCCTCCAATTCTTGCCTTTTAACAAGTTGTGGGGAAAACAAATTATCTATTTTTATCATTATTGTTTATGAAAATAATGAATGTAAATACTCAGTTTGGCCACTGAAGTTGCCTCCCCACCCTGTGGTCAGTTTCAGTCGTTCTTGTCCTCTGCCTTGTCAAGGTTATAAATTAAGGCAAAACCACCAAATAAATCTTTTCTACATTGGAAACACCTTGGGTATCCCAAAACATGGTTTCACAAAGCTTACACCTTCCAATGGATATCATTCCCTATAGCTGCTAGCAAGGAGAGCAGCAAAGAAAGAGGTTTTTACCTATTATGGGAGCTGTACTCCATCCATCAACACCCAGAACTATGGTCATGAGAACCTAACAAAGCCCTCAGCAAGCTAACTCAACAGCAGACAAACAGAAAAAGCAAACTGTCCATAATACAGCAATAGCAGAACATAATACCTTAAACTAGGACATCTGTCTACTCACCTCCATTCTGAGAAGAAGATTCACTGTCTACTTCTGTAAGATACTCTAACAAACCATCAAATATTTCAAGGAGGTTTCTGATAGATTCCCTTTCTCCTTTCACAATGTTTTCACCTTAAGAGAAGGTACACATATTAATTATTAGTACTTCAGAGAAGAAAAGTTCTCAAAAGCGGGAGTTTTCTGGAGAAGAGTATTTGGAAATTCTTGTGAAGGTGTCAGCTCAGAAGACAACTGGTCATTCATTTATGGCTATGTACATAAGCTTAAGGTATCTTAAAAGTTTCCTAATGTTGTGTATTTTCAGTTCTAATAATTGAAAGTTTATTGATGCTGTACCTGCTTCCACCAAAAAAAAAAAATAATCAGGGATATTTTCGGGGGTAGCTGGTATTTAATATTTTCTTATACATGCTAGCCACAGCATGAACCATGCCTATAGACTACCAGGCAGGATTACAAATACCAGCCATACTGTACAAGTGCCAAATTAGAAAGAGATACTTCATATCAAGCAAACAGTTTTCATTCTTTGCAGGCAATATTATGCGAAACTATACCTATGAATACTCAATGAAAGCTACTATCTATGTGCAAAGGACAGACACAACATTGTCCAAGTCTTTACTCACCAACTTTTTCAAATTTAATAACAAGTCCAAAATTCAAGGCTCACATTTTACAATCCAGTCTCCAAGCTTTAACTGTATACAGAAAAAATACTGAGCCAGTAACAGCCTTCAGGTAACACTTTAACAGACAAGTATGATTGATTGTTGTGTTAACTTTAACATTTCTTACAGGTCTGTGTCATACAAGACAGCTTTTATTTATTCGCTGCTTGCTGTTTAAATGTATAACCTGATGTCCAAGCAAGGGTTGAGCGTTTTGATGGCATTCACTACAGGAAAGAGACCTTTCATGTAAGTTTGAAAGTATGCTTTATAGCATATGGCTCTTATAAAATGTTCAAATTAAACCACACAGGTATTCAGCTGGCGTTTGTCTACATGAAAAGGAGTACGTACCAGTGATGTGCGACAAGCTGACCTGCAAATAGTCCAATGCCAGGGAATCTATTACTGCTTGTACATTATGGGCATCATCCTCTTGGCTTCTAGGAGTAGCTATGAAATCTATTTAAAATAAATAATAGATTTTAGGCTATCTAAATGGATAGCTTATTACAGATGCTTTGACTAAGCTACTTTAACGTTCAAGTTAGTATTTTTTCAGTATCTTGTATACTTGCTGAAAAGCCCCAATATCATATAGTTGTATGAAATCTTTTATAAATACTGAGTACAAACTTAGAACACCCACTGGAAGATCAGAGGATTTTATCAGCTGAAGTAGTAAATTTAAGACTAGAGACCACTAAAGTATTTTTCCTCCTTCACTCCCAGCACACACATCTAGTTCAGATCATCAAACTGGAATTGCAGTTTGTGTTAAGGTCTCTTCCCCTGTCAGTGACTAGTTGGACTGCAATGTATTCTACTTAATTGGAAGCAACATTATTTTTAGTTCTGGGCTTAATTTAGCCCTTGCTTAATTGTTGTCACTGAAGTCAAATGGAGTTAAATCACAGCTTAGCTTTTAGCAGACTATAAATATTAAGCATTTTATGAGAACAGGCTTCAGTATTAACACATCTTTAAAAGAAATGAGCTAAATCACACCCTTCAAAGGTATTGTGCCCGTGTATGGCTTTCCAGGCCTAATTCACAATGGAAAAACTTTTGCTGTAGCTGTACTAGTAAAGTCCCCTCATGTTTGCAATTCGTACCAGTCAAGAAACAAACAAAAAAACACAATTGGCCAATATTACTTAAATCTTCTTAGAAAATTACAACCTATGTTTGTGTCTTTGGAAGTATACAAATACTTCAGAAACCCTTTATCTGTAATAAATTTTGTAAATTTTAATTTGTTCATTACAAAATATACAGAGACCAAGAAAATAAGCAGGTTTAGAAATTATCATTCCCACCTGGTACTTTTTCTCCTAAGATTGACTCGTAAAGACGAACAAAGACATCAGCACCACATTCTGAGAGATGCTTTATGTGCTTGTTTATGTGACAGCTCCTTAGAAGATCATTGGCAACATCAACCCAATCTATTAAGAAGCAAAACAATATTATGTCAGAACTAAAAGACAGAGAAATAAAGACATGGTTAGTTACAATGAAAGATGGAACCCATTTAAGTGTCTTTGCACTGAAGTGGTCAATCCCAATCACCCAAAATATTGAATCTGATGTATGCTTTCTGCTCCATGACCTGCTCACATCAGATGGAAACATGGACAGAGAGTGAGGAATGATACACACCAGTATCTTGTTCAGGTACACAGTCACAGCACATAGAGTTGAGAGCTGAAGGATACTGAAGTACCACAGACTGGGCAGATTACATTTTTTTCTTTCATGTAACAGAAAGCAAGTTTTGGTCTGGCTGCGTAACCAGGAACTCCAAACCTTGAGGGACTTAACAAAATAAGCTGTGATACATCTTTTATCAAAAATCAGAAGTGACATGTACTTTTTTGAAAAACATGAACTTCTCTGTTACAAACCCAGTTTCCCTAATACACTTGGGCAACACCACCATTGTTAATATAAGTATTCTTCCTAAAAGCTAAATTGAAGGACTACTTTTATTTATTTGCTGGTTTGGGATTACAAGAATATGGAGCTGGTCCCACCAACTTCATGCTATGTTGAGCCCAATTGAGGTGTGTTCATAACCAGCCTGATTTTCCCTAATCTTTGGGTCCTGAATTCAAAGTGCTTTGAAGTACAGGGATCCTCTAGTCTTTCTTGTCACCCAAATAAATATCAGCTTGGAAGAAAAAAGTCTTTATCTCTGCCAGTCTGTGATCTCTTAAGGTTGCATTTTCCCCCTATATGTTGCTTTTGTAAACAAAACAGTATTTTAACAAGTATTATCAAGGACTAAAGAAGGAGTAAGTAATTTTTTGAAGGAAAAAAAAAGTATACAATTACTGCAACAGAAATTAAGGTGTACAGTGTTCACTCTTCTGTACACAGGGAGTATTACTTTTCTATAGATCTACTCTTCACTCAGTTCCAGAAATCACTTTATCCTAACATTTTAATAATTTCAGGGGCATGCAAGGTTGAAGTAGCATCTCCTACATTTCAAACTGACATGTCCTAGAAAACTTCAGTCACTATTCATCGCCAGCTTTATCAAATTAAAAGTGTCACCGCGGAGGTGAAAGACAAGAGAGTGGGAGGGTAGGTTAAGATAAAGAGCTTAAAAAAGCCTTTTTTAAGGTTTAAAGGAAAAGCACGTCTGAATGAAGTAGCCGGTGTTAGCCAGCAGCAGGAGGATGACAAGGTAGAGGGGAGAGAAAAGGCAGCTCTCCACCTTGCCTCTCCCACCCCCGCAGGGCACGAAGGCTGGCTGCTCCTCAGGGACTCGCACCTGCCCCACCGCAAGGCCCCACAGAGCGACGGGGGACACACCACGATCTAGCCCCAGAGGCGGGCGGGGCACAGCGGAACGTGAGGAGAGCCAACGCATTCACAAGAGAGAGGCGCCTGCGGTTGGGAGAGCGGGGAATCGCCTCAGGAGCACCCATCCCCGGCCACCCCTACCTCTCTCCTCAGCGCTGCCCATGGCGCGGCGCCCCACGCACCAACGGATGCGGGAATAGGCCCTCCCCGGGTAATTTAAATAACCCCCTCAGCGTCCTCCGCGCTGATTGGACAGATTGCGTCGGAAGGGGCGGGGC